AGATAAGCATATTTTCGAATTTGTAGAGGGCCAATGGCAACTGAGTGATCTACGGGAGATTAATAATGAAAATGGATGTTTGCCAAGGAATCTGGCTCAGCAGACACATATTGTATTAACTGGTACCTATATCCTCCAGGTGAGCTCTTTGTAGTATTCCTATCATAGCATATATTTTTTACCTTGGACATCCAAATGCAGATCATCCAGTATAAGTATAGGTAGACAAGATGTATGATATAGCGAGCTCCAAATATAAGCAGCTTTGTGAAATTCGTAAAATCGACAACCAGAACTTAGAAGTAAAGGAAGAAGAGCAGCCGATAGAGTGGCAACCCAAAGGTAGAAGAATGATGCAATTTTGTTTAACTGATGGAGTGCAGGACGTCACTGCAATAGAGTACACTCCACTTAAACAAATAACTGTATGGCTTTTTGCATTGTTTCAAATGAATGCAAACTCTCTCTCTCTTTTTCTCACCCAGATTATCAAATTAAAAATGTTTCTTCACAGGATATATTACTTCCTGGCTACAAAGTAATGATAATTGGCCCAATCCACTGCAGACGTGGTGTTATTCTTCTAGAAGATGGCAAGTACAAGGAAGTTGGCGGAGAAGTGGAAACTTTGTTGAAATCCAACGCGCTAGAGAATGTCTTGGCAAGAGCTTTGTAAGATTTGATCCAATTTTCTTCGAGTTTGCTTTATTTTTCACTTTGGCTTCAGCCTTTTAATTTCTATGTCTATTCAATTGTCCAGAGGAGAACCTGAAAACCCCGATCCATATAATGACAATGGATTATCCAGGATCATGAATCAGAATGCTCAAAACACAGCATCTAATTCTAACAATGACAATTTTTTTGATGATGACTTTGAAGAAGCTGTTGACTTGGAAGCAGTGACAGCAATCGAACAACGAAGCCAAGAAATTAATGCTGTTCAAGAAAACTTTAGAAATACGTGTGATCGCAAACAAGTAGATAGGAAAGAAACGAATGAAATTATGGAAACGTTGGAAGATATAGACTTTGAACCCTTAGAAGATTGGTAAGTATTAAAGACAGTTTCTTAATATGAATTTAATTCAGGTAACAATTGATATCGTTTTTAGTCATATAAGGATTTGCTTTAAAATACACAATTTTTCTGATTTATAAAAGTAAATTTTACCTGCTGTGTAGTGTCCTCTAATTTTACTAATTTTACTGTAATAATTTAAGCAATCATTCCAGGTCCAATAATTTTCCAACAAGATCTTCATGGATATCGCCGTCACAAATGAAGACTAAGAAAATTGATAAGGATGATAGAACGACAGTTGAACAAACAACTTCTGTACTCAATTTTCACAGCAAATTATCGCTTTCTACGAAATCTATTCAGAATCAAAATTTTTCAGAATTTCCTGATGATGATTTTGACTTAGATGATTGCGACATCATAATTAAGACAAAGGAATCACAGAGGTTCTTTATCCATCTCAATGCATCTTCATATTATTTTTGATATTTATCTACTATTTATTTTTTTATTCAACTTTTTTAGTCAACAAAGTGAAAATCCTTTAATTAATAAAACCAAAACGTGTCACTCGTTAGAACTGCCTACGAAATTGACAAATCGTAATGCTCTAATAGAAGTTAAGAAAAGTACATCCATAAAAGCGGCACAAAACGAGAAATCAGTGGTATATAATATTTATAATTTAGTATTTTTTTTTACTACGAATGATTTTTACATTTTTTCTTTTTTAATTGAAACTGCTCTCTCTTCTTATTTAACTTAATAATTTTGCCAAAGGTAAACACTTCGAGAGTAATACAGCAAGTACCTGAGACTAAAACTATTTTTGATTTTATCAAGCCTCAACTAGCTCCAAAAATCTGCGATGTCTTGCGCGATGTCTTACGCGAGCCTATTACGGAAAAAATATACAAGACAGTGAGAGGTCAGGTGAAGAACCATTCAACGTTAACGAAACAGGGTAAATGCTGGTCGGTAACAGCACTGATCACGGATTACACTTCCAGTGTAGAAGTTTGTTTCGATTCTGAGGTACGTGTGAGATAAAATTATTTCTTAAGGCTTTTTATTGCTTTTTATTCCATTTATTATGGTATTGGAAGAGAGAAATCGTGAGAATCTTTTTCTCTCATTTCTTAGTCTACGACAAGAGTCCTGACATCAATATCTTTATACCCTCGGGAGGTCGCGGTATATCTGAGAAATACATACAAAATATATTTATAAATGTTTTTAAATAGCGACACCATTTACGTACTGGATAAACAGTAGCTGTTATACGAGTTATTAAGACAGTTAGGATTATATTACAATGTCACAGAAAAATATAGTTATGACGTAATGTGGGAGTATTATTATATCGGCTTTTATTATTGTTAAAGAACCCGCACTAATATGAAATTGGGTCCCGGCGAAATCAAATGGTTTTCACATATGTTATAGCTTATGACTTGTTAAAGAAAACGTATAAGTTTTAGCGCAAAAAAATGAACAGTTTTTGTGTATGATTCACCTATAGTCGCTGAAATCTGACCATAAAATACTCAACTTTTAAACGGCTAATCTAAAATGGATAAAATTATAATGTTTTGAAAAGGTCTTAATAAGGACTATATAAAAATGGAAGAAAAAATAGGGAGTCTCACTTAAAAAATCCAAGTTGACTTTGCCCTACTTTGGCGACGCCACCCAAAGTCAAAATGGTGAAGCCAGCGGCTAGGCCTTTTTAAACTCTACAACTTTTAACTGAAACATTTTTTTATAAAATTTATAGTTTTCCAGATATTTTACTGTTTCGGGACATTTAATGTTCCTTATATGATTATATATGGTGCTACATATAATTATATATCCCACATATAATTACATACTATCATATATAATGTCCAAACATGTACACATGTATAAAACGATACTTTGGTACGAAATATGTAATACATAATTCCCAGGATCTGAATGATGAAAATAACTTAATAAATAATTAAGAAACAATAAATTTTTTATTAAATAATTGCATAACGCATACGCACGCATGAACACGCATGCACACGAGACCAGGCCCCTACCATATCTATGTCGTTGATCCTGGATTACACTACGGAAATACACTACGTATTCTGTAACAAAGTATCGTTTTATGCATGTGTACATATCTTGCACATTCTATATGATAGTATGTAATTACATGTAAGTTTCATGATTGATATCCTGAATAACATTCGTTAAGATCAAGGTCACTGGAGATTGTTTCTCTTATTTTCATTTTTACGTAGAAATAAATTTTTAGTGCAAAAATGAAAATAAGAGAAACAACCTCCAATGACTTTGAACGTCATGAACCTGAATAACATTCAAGAGGTTTTAACCGTCAGTCGGACACCTTGCGTAGTGCTATATTGTCGACGGTACTGTAACTTTCAAGCCTTATAACTCGAAAAGTACTTCATGAAAAAATATTTTATTATAGTGTTTTGGAAAGCTCTCGAGGTGTGTTACAAGAATATGCAATGAAAAATAGGTGGTTCCACTTAAAAAATTCAAAGTGATATTGCTCTGACCTTGGTGACGCCACCCAAGGTCAGATTGATCAGATGACTTGTTGAGAATTATTTTATTGTTTATATTATTCTTAGCATTTAGTTTGGCTCGTAGCCCTATTGTTTTCATTGTTTTATTAGAAAAATATAAATTTTGATAAATTGTACATTGAGAAAAATTTCTATTTGAAAATGGACGAACTAGAAGAGTCCGATCATATCAATAAGAATTCTGATTATCTCAACTAGAATTATAATAAATTCTGTCAGAAAATTCTAATTTTTCCATTTTTAATCAGAATTGTAATTAATCCAATCAGACTTTTTTTCAGTGTTGTTATTGAAATAAAACATTTTCATGCATTCATATTCTTTTTTTTGCGAAAGATACAATATTTATTTAAGGTATTCGTATTTCTCAGATACACCGTGACCTCTAGCGTTATATTAAGGATCGTAATCTCGAGAGTTGATAAACGTGAATTACTGAAATGCTTTTTTTTAGGTTCTGGAGGGTTTTCTCGGATTCACCGTACAAGAATTTTTGCAGAAAAAGAAACTTGCCAAGTTAGATCCACAAGTAAAAAACGAACTAAGATTGGTAAGATGGATATATATTCATGATATAGTAATTGTTAAGGATAAATTCTGTCAAATTAAATTTTTCAGAGTCTACGCAAAGCACAACATGACATTCAGAATTTGGATGCATTGTTGAAATTGGAATTGGTTCAAGGTCAAATGCCCAAAATCGTTGGTATCACGCAGTTGACTACACAACAAAGGGAAGACCTTATGAAAAGATCTGCATGAAATATATAATATAGAGAGATACTTGATAATTTTTCAGAATTTAAAAATACTTGATATTTTTTATAAACAGCATAATGCTCAGAACTATAAATAATAATCGCAAAAATTTTTAATTAAACTAGATTTAGGAATTAATTTAGAAAATATGTTTGTACAATTTATCATAAATGTTATTTGTAATAAATAAAACAATTCAATAGTTAGCATCAAGTGAAGATACGATGTCACTCTCCTATATGTTCTATCCTATTTCGGATATTTATCTTAAAATCTGATTTAAAATATTAAAAATTAGTTTCTTTATGTACTTTTACGCATAAAGAAATTATCCCTGAGCAAAAGAGAACAAATTCTGATTAACGAATTGCATGATCATAGCATTTATTAACTAGTACATACAATTGATCATCGCGCAGTGGTACATTTTTGTCTCAACTCATTGTTTATCCTCATTTACTTTTCTCTCTCATTTATTCATACTTTTTTGTCACTCACACGCAGTATATTTTCTCTCGCATTCTTGTTTTCTCACTCATTCAACGTGATAACAAGTTCACAATTTTTCAATTAATATCGTTTTTTTTTTATTGTTACAATATTTACGCTTATTGCACGCTTTTCCGTGATATAAAATTCATTCCACTTTCTCTCTCTCTCTCTCTCTCTCTCTCTCTCTCTCTCTCTCTCTCTCACACTCCCTCACTCCCTCTGTTTTCTATTTTCACTCTCTCGAGATATAAAATAAATTGTTGAAACACATCGCACCGATGATTCTGTCTCTAAGGAGGATCTGCAAATAAATTGTTTAAATAACAATAATTTAAATATAAATATCAACGCAATATGTCTCGTGAATTTCTACAATTGTCGACATTGGGCTTCTCTCTTTAGTCTCTCCTTATCCTTGATCCTTTCCTTTCCGTTTTGATAAGCGCAACGACAATGTCGTTTCTTGTCAGTGGCATCAGTCTGCCTTTCGTTGATCTAACTAAAGTTTGTCCTTTGTAAAATAACATTCTCGCAATAACTATTATCGTAGGAAACGCACATTGACTGCTTCGAGCCTTCGGGTCTTCCGACACTGTAGAACTCCCGAATTCGCGAGTTACCGAAGACACAGATCCTCGGAAACTTACATATGTATGTGATGATCTTAATATTTTATCTTATCGGAAATGCTTGATCGGTGTAATTAAATTTAAGAAAATTTAACTAAAATTCTCGAATCTCTGTAACCTTAACTAATAGAAGCCACTAAAGTTAGATCCTGGATACCTTGAATCCTGGGAAAGTCGAGATCATAAATAAGTCACTACTTTGTATCCTTCAACTAGAGCTTGTATCTTTACGTGTTCTAATGCCTTATATCATAGCAATTTGAGTCTCTGAGTTCGCAGATCTATGGATTCTCGGAAACGCTCTAATCCTTCAAAATTGAGATTATTTTGAAATTTTCTATTCTTTAAAATTTCAAGTTTTCCGATTTTTAAAATCTCAGATTTATGAAACTCGAGATTTATATTTTTTTCGGTTCGATAATTAGAGCAAACTGTAATGATTGATTCTGGTTTTTTGGGGCCTTTCGAATTTTAGAAAATTTTGATCATAGAAATTTGAAATTTTCAGATCTATGATATAATAACGGGCGTTTCCTCGAGTCGTCGATAATCGTGGATTCTTGGTATCTCGGATCTCAGGCTTTCACGAAATTTTCGGATCTTTACAGATCCTTCAAACTCGCATAATGCTCTCTCATTGTTTCCCGACTTCTCTACAGAATGATGAGCTTTCGAGGAATTAGTTTTCGAGGATGTTCGACGAGCGTCATGTCCGAGTCTTCCTCGGCCGGGACGATTTTCTGCAGTTCAACAGTACATGAGAGGCGCAGATCGATCACCAAGACGGCGGCGATGTCCTTGAGATCATTGGATCGCTTTTATCGATCGCAAATATCGCCGTATATGAATCGCGTGGGAACTCTCACGGTTGCTGCCTTAGTATCATGTTAAAATGTGTATTTTATATTATTGTATGTGTGTATAACGGTGTGTGTGTGTGTGTGTGTTGTGTGTGTGTGTGTGTTGTGTGTGGGATCAGTCCGCGCACACGGTATACTAATAGATATCGATGGAACTGCCAGAGATGAGAAAAGCAGAACGCTAACGGAAATTTACCTACATAATCTCGTCGTTTCAACAATACGGCGCTTCCGACAGTTAATGTGGCGTGTACATGAGTGTATGTTTTCTGCGTGTATTACGAAAGGTGGTTTTAGGTGGTTTACCAAAAGGTATAACCGCCCTCCGTTCCTCCTCCCAGGAACGAGCCCTTCTTTTGCGAGAGGGCCACACTATGGCCGGCCATCGCGGCCAACTGCGCAGCATTCGCGGCCACTCCGGGTGGCGGTGGTGGCAACACCGGTTGCGAGATGCCGTCGAACCGGGTACCGTCAAAACCATTCTGTGAAACAAATATTGGGAATGTCAATAATTAAAAAAAGATCTTGGAGATGAACTCCGATATCTTTTTTAGGGCCTTAGTAGAAAAGCTGACTTATAATTTTAAGACAGTGTTTTATGACTTACGTCTTATATCTTTAGTAACAAAAACTGTCTTATATAAGTAATCCAGTAATCGTTGCACTTCATTACATGATAATATTACAAGAATATGCATGATACAAAACAATTTAAACAATATGTGTTCGTCTTCGTTTTTGTTTGACTTGCACAATAATTTCAATAATAATAGAACTACTGGGGTGCGTTGACATTAACGTTAATTAGAACGTAAAAGAACAGGCCATGCTTAGCATCGAGACACTACCGTAGAATCTCCAGATTCTGGTAATGTTTGGTAATGTCTAGTAAATATAATTAGAAATTTTTTAGATCCAACAGAAAAATATTAAACAAATTTTTGTACTATAATCTATCAACCATTCTAGTTGTAAAATCTCAAGTCCTGTCATAATAATTTCCAGAAATTTTGCTTTGTTTAACCGAAATGCATTTTTAACCATATATACATCTTGTTGATATAAACAAACCATTTTTCTCAGTGCAGTGTATGCAAGCTACGAAGTAGTGCATAATAAATACAGAAATCATGCGTATCAGTATGCCGGTATTCATACCCTGATAGCAAAACCTGCGGAGACAGATTTTGAACCGAGTCTGTTACCAATTTCTAATTGTAGAAAGGTACCAAATTGTATACAGAATTTGTATTATCTGACATTGTCAGCAAATTACTGCCAGAAATATAACAAAGCCTGTTAGACATCCTATGTCAGCAGATTGATAGCAGAAACCGAACAAAGTCTTGTATAACCTAACGACAGATTGATAGCAGATTGAGAACAGAATCTGATTCGAGCAGACTTTGCTCGGTTTCTGCCACCAATCTGCTGGCATAGCCTTTCAACAGCCTTTGTTGACAAATCCATAGCCAAATGTGGACATAAAATCTGATGGAGTTTGCTGCCAATTTGGCTCCAAATTGCTAACATTTTGCTATCAGGGTAGTTAATTCTTATATTTGAGATTTATCTTAAGTACAATTTTAAGATGTTATAAGCAAATTAGAGGGCTGTAGCATCTTAAGATACTACTTAAGACAATCTTACAATAAGAACAAACTATGAATACCGCTTATAGAGCATGGATTGCATTCGTATTTAAGTAGCATATCAAATGTGGTCAACAAAAATGAGAGAGAGCATGAAGATGTCCAATTTCCTTCTCTTTCTAACACATTGTGATTGGCTGAATAGAAAGAGATAGAGACTTCGCGTCCTATCTCTCATTTTTATCGATAAATGTTACACACGAATGGTACAGTCCATGCTCTATGTCTTCGGCATTTTAATGTATGAATGTATTTTAGAATGCATCAGAGCAAGCATGCATGTATGCTTATCATTCAAGAAATCGAACATCGTATGATTCCAGCTTATTTTATAACAAATTCATTCATTATTTATATAATTATTTATGAGATATTGTGTGATTTTATTGCATGTTTATTGAATTCGTTCATAAAACATCTTACAAAAATACAAAACTATAATAAAATGAATATATTATTCAAGATATATTATTAA